TCCATATTTTGTAGCAAACATAACTTTCAAACTTATTAAACAGATTGTTAAAGGGCAACTTCACCTCTGGTATAGTTGTTCTTTAATAAATCCCCCACCCTCCTGGGTACAGTTCACCTGGGATAACTCTTACTTTCCACCCGGTCCAAGCTATCCAAGAAGATCCTGGCTCGTACCTCTTCATACTTCGCAAGCCAAACATGTCCCCTTTTATACCTATGGGTAACCTGCACTCTAAGGGACTGCTAGAGAACGCCATAAGTATGGTTTACCCATATGAATGAATGGAGCCATGGCAAGCATGCACAGTATAAAGAGCAGCCAGCTGGGACCATGTAGGAGGAAAAATCACTGGATCGGGGAGGCTGTACTTATTGATAGGAGAATTCATTAAAGGACAACTTCACTAAACTTTTTGACCTGATGAAGGAGCTAAATGTTTTGAAACGTTGCTTATACTGCAATCAATAAAACACTCTACTAAGAGCATACAATGTGCTGGTGAGATCCAATATTTGTATATGGGAGCTGCCCATAACAAACTTGTACGTAGCCAGTAAATTTAGGACTGCTGACATAATTGTTCTAGGTCAGCAGCTTACGAAGTAGTGAAGCAATAATAAAAGTGAAGACTTCAAAGCTTGAGTCAACAGTGGCAGCTCACATTTTCCTATCCTAAAATGTTTAATTTAAAGTATAGGTATGTAAGTGGAAGGTACTCCTTAAAATAATGGTCTAGTTAGGCAAAGGTAGTCATATGTGATATAACTTTAACATTTGTTCTAGCGGACCTAGGCCTCTTTCACACTGGCTGATCAGGAGGGTATTGGTGCACAGATCCTCTTCTGATCAGAGCGGTACGGATCGGATATCACTGCTGTGACATCTGTGTCTGTCCAGTTTTTCCCTCCATGTTGGCGGAAAAAACTAAAATGACTGGACCCCATGTCGGTTTAACGAATGTAAACGGACATGCGTCAGATTACCACAAACCGGCATGATCAGGATCGTCGAAATGGAACACTGTTCCATTTATTTTTCCGGACCTGGTCACATGTGAAAGGGGCCTTGTATTGTACAGCTCAGCGAATTAAACTAATGAAGCCACTGGATCAGTATGACTTTCACGAGAATAACATTTACAGAGTGCAATTTGTTTAGCTAATTGCATAGTTTGCCAGTTATGTAGTTTAGCACTAATAAGAGGTAAGAATGGTAGCATTAACTTGCCTGTTTTTTTACCAATTAAGTATGCACTTAAACAATTAAATACCTTGAAAATACAGCGCACAACTGTATAAAAAAAAACCACGCGCACTTCTGATATCTGACCTATCAAACTTAGATAAATAACACACAGTTTACAAAAAATGCAGCTTAATAAAAGCCTGGCTATGTGATTAGCAACTATTATATTCTGTATGTGTTTTGGCTGACTGGGAGTAGGGTGGTGCACGCAGATTTGCTGGTGGATGATGTGCATATAACCGTGTTCTGTGATTATATGGAAGCCGCAATGGCCTTACCATGTATTTGTGTTCAGCAGTGGTGACTACACTGTAAACCACAATTACATGGGTTTTCATTATGAACACATTTTTGTAACATATGTTAATGTTGGAGGAATGCTAAGGGAACAAATGATGTACCGTGTTTCCCCCGAAAATAAGACCTACCCCGAAAGTAAGACCTAGCACTATTTTTCAAGATTACTGTAATATAAGACCTACCCTGAAAATAAGACCTAGTTTGGTGGGAGCATGTGAGTAGGAACTTGAAGAGCAGGAGAGATGGTATCGGTCTGCAGGGATATACTGTATTACGGGGATGACAGGGGACTCCCTCCGGCCAGCGCAGTGACAGGGAGCACTCCAGTACCAACTGCTGTCCCCCTGAAGGCACCCCTTAATGTAATGGTACTGTAATGTGTACCGGTAAATGGTATCGTACTTTACATCTGACCAGAAGAATGCCTCAATGATCACTGACAGGGCAGTTTCCCACTGTCGTTAGGCAACCAATCATGTGATCACTTTGTTAGCTATGGTATAATGATGACATGCAGGCTGGAGGCTTCAAGAACAAAATTCAATTATTTAGCCTACAGATGAACTCTGCCAACTTCAGGCTGCAGTGGCATCTGCAGTGCCGTCAGTTTTATAATTTAAAGAACTCCAGGCAGAATGTTTCCTAACCCTTGCGGTGGGGCTACCCCTGCACTGCAAGGGGCAAATGCTTATTTTTGTCTCAGTGCTACAAAAAAAAAGTTATACTCACCTATAGCCCTATAGCCTCTCTCCCCCTCCACTGCAGCGGTCTAAGGTTCCGTAAATCATCACATTCTATAAACTGTGTATAGAATGAGAGGAACATTCCATCGTTGCAGCAAAGGAGGGGAGAGGCTTCAGAGACCGGAGTTCATTTGAGTATAATAAACAAAACTGAGCACTTAACCTTCGCAGTGCAGGGGTAGCCCCACTGCAAGGGTTAGTAACACTTTTACCTGGAATTCTTATTTTAATTGTCACCTATTACAATAAAAAAACAAAAACAAAACTGAAATATGTAAAAAATACTTTGATAGTATCTAATAATAAAACAAAGAAGGAGTTTAATCAAAACAGTGTGCCAAATAAAAGAATTATATGTCCTTTAAAAATATATAAAAAAAAAGATTTCGGTCTGCAAATTAGTCAAGTTATTGTCCTAATTAAGTTGTCAAGCTATCATAAAGTTCGCCGACGCTGCTGAATTACACCTGGTATCTAGGCATCAGGGACCTGTGGTCATGAAAGGGTTGATGTACTCTAAGGCCCCGTTCCCACTGCGCGATATGCATATTGCGCGACATCACGAGATTTGCCGCGCGATGTCGCGTTCAAGCTTGCATTGAGCAAGCTGGAATCGCGGCTAAATCCGCTACAAAAAGGGTCCTGCTGTAGCGACACACGACCCGCGACAGCAGGACCCTTTGCCCCATTGGATTGCATTGGAGCGCGATATCGCGCGGTAATTTGCCGCGATATCGCGGGAATTACCGCGCGATAAATCGCTCAATGTGAACGGGGTCTAAAGCAAGTAGTACTCAGACTGCGAGTCAGATGCAGGTCACAATGTAGCTGCCACATGGTGATCACAGACACATGGCAACAACACACTGCTACAGTTGTGCATATAAACTTCGAGGCCCTGTTGACACCTGGAAAATGAATGAGCCACCAGTGAAGTCTCTTTCTTTAATGACAATAAGGACTAGTTCACACCAAGCGCGTTCCAGGAGCAGAGCAGTTACAGACCGGATCAAAACTGCGTCCAATGTATTCCAATGGTATTTTGGGCTCTAGTTTACACCGCAGCGTTCAGTTCCAGGGCATGTAAAAAAAAAAACCTGCAGCAAGCCCTTTTTTACCTGCTCTGGGACGCATGCAAACGCATCAAAAATGCCTGCAAACGCACTGTAACACACTGAAATGCCATTTTAAACTAATAACGGCCCAGGACGCATCAAA